TGTTCTACATCATTAGTTTGCTGTTCCTTAACTGTAGTATTTCCCTGTCACCAGGTACTTTCTTTTAACTGCAGAATTTCTTTACTGCATATGTACTTATCATTATCGGTGCTTAGACACAGCTCACCTGCTTGACTCAGTAAGCTTGAATTTGACTTCTAGCTTGAATTGAATATTTTGGATTGAAGTGATGTTAAGCTTACCATGAGAATTAGGTATAATCTGTCTCATTTATGCAGGGAACAGCAAACTGGTAAAATAACATTTGGAATGAACATACTGTTTAGTGGGAAAGGAATGAATGAAGCACATATAATCCATCATTAAGTGGTTCATCCCACTTTTACTTGGATTTCACTTGGGAATAACACTAAAAGGTAAAGACTCCTTTGAGTTCAGCTCAGCTCCTGCTGTCTATAAGAATACGTTCATGGTGTTTTCTTGCCTGCAATACAGAATTGGTTTGCCATTCTTCTCATGCTCCTCCCGTCCCCACTCTTGCAATTTACTGACATTCTCCTATGCAAGCATTAATCAGGTCTGACCCTGTTTAGCTTTTTGAGGTGTTGGTTAGATGGGGCAGCCTGTTGTGGTGGCATCTCAGAATTAATTGCTGGAATGTTGTTTCCAGAGTTTGCAACCTTAATCACAACTTTCAGAGTTGAAGTGCAGTAGATGAAAAAGAACATTCTTTTGCAGATACTCTTTGGGTACCGAAATATATCCTCCAGCTGTGTTTACATTCCTAATGTAAATTATTTTGTCTGCAAAAGCTTGTTGACACCATATTCGTGTGATACAATGACAAAACTGATCTAAATTTGGATAACTGAGGTGTTGCTGTAAAAACGGATGATTTATGGATATTTTTGCTTTTTTTAAAAGAAGATGTATAATATAAAATATAGCTGGCATATTAAGAAACTAGCTTTTATGGGAACATTAAATAGATTTTGAAATACACTTTTAAGTTATTAACTTTGCTTTTAGATTTCAACTTTCATGGTTCTAAAATAAAAGTCTAAATCATGCAGAACATTTGTGCTTAACAAATTATTTTCTTTTATAGCCATATTTGATACATGAGAGTCCTAATTAAGCAAATGCTAAATTGTATTTTACGCTAAAAAGTGATTGCAAAAACAGAGTTAGCACTTGTTTTGAGGCTTGCATGCTTAAGAATCCAGTTCTGTGCCAAACATTTGGCAATTAAAATGCTGCCAAACATTGGACTACGTTCTTCAGCTAACTGCAATTTTTCAGTCACAGAGTCAGAAACTCCATGCTGAGTCCAGTTCATTTGATAAAGTGATGCACCCACATCCATGATGTATAATGGTGATATCACAAACAGTCATATCTCCATTTATAGAGAAGTACACGTGGCAAGTTCAATAGGAGTCCCATAAAAGCAGTGATTGGCTTTCAAGAAAGGTATGTGTGTATTATGCAAATAACCTTTGTTCACATTACTATTGAAAACACTGCTTGATATTGCAAATACACAGCGCTTCCTCCAAATACAAGGCCCTTCTCATTCTGAATGTGGCAGTGAGAACTTGCTGTTGTGTGTGACTGTTCATTTAACTGTAAATGGATTACAATATCCATTGAACTTACATTGAAAGAGATGAAAGGAAAAAATGATGAGAGACAAAAATGGTAACATCTCCAACAGAATCCAGTAAATCCTCTAAAGTATATTTTGGCAATATATACTTTATATATTGCCAAAATATACTTCTCCCTCCACTCTGGCCCATGTATATGTTGTATTTCAAAACCTTACATTGTTGACATGCAAATACTTCTATGACAGTGCACTTTACAGTGGCATTCTATTAAATCTTACAGGAAGCAAAACCTTCTTAAATATTCCACACTAAATACAGTAACTCCATTTCTTAGGAAAATCTTTACAAGTTTAGTTAATTCAAGAGTTGCTTAGAAAGAGATAATGGCTGGTTTCTAATGCAACATGCAATGATAGCAAACGAATTGGTCCAATAAATGTTATGAATAATTTGTGGGATCTTTTTGATCCGTTTTCTTTGGAAACCATTTTTGTTTTGTTTTCTTATACAAGAAGTGTCTATTATAAAATGGTTAGTGGAGTTCACTTTACAATAATGGCATACATTTTGGTCTGTTGGATGAAAATGTCATTTTAAAGTAATGTGGCCTCTTGTGTGTAACACAAATACCAGCAGAAGACTAATTACATACACAAAGAGACTCTTTCATGGTGCATATTGTAAGCCAGGGATTTCATTACTCTTAATTCATCAAATAAGAATCATTCCCAAGTAACAGTGAAATATAAATTAGTGTGCAAAGGCAGCCAACCAACATTTGTTAAAGTTCTTGTTCTACAACTGAAAGTTTTGATACATACTAAGTAAGTATCACAGCAACAGTAAAAGACAATTAAGTTGCCCTGATGTTTGGATGAGATTGTAACTTGCTCATGTATATTTCCCAAATGAACCTGAAGAAGAGGCAGGCAACATAATGCTTATGACACCAATGTGCTTGGACGCATCGCTTAGCAGCCACCAGGGTGCCTGCCTCCTCTGATTTTAATTGTTTAAAGGTTCTTTTAATTAAATAGGAAGCTGGCACACTGCAAAACAAAGTAATTGCCTCTAGCATAATATGATTTACAAGAATGGCTCTGGATTCACACAGACCCGAGACATTTTTAGGAAAAAAGAAATGGATGATTTGAGCCCAGTGCATTGTTTGCAAGTCTGCCTGCTTGTGCAGGAAAGAGAGAGAGAGAGAAGGGAGAAGGTTAAAAAGCATTTTGAGGGAGGAGCGTGGGGAAGAATTGTACCACAATGCCTTCTGATGAGTGGGTGTTTTATTGTTGGCCCTGTCCATCAGGAGAGTCACTTTGTGAGAACATCTATTCACATGCTCTCATCATTCCAAATGAGGGCCAATCCCTGCCTAAATTGTTGATGCCGATGAATGGAATCCATATTGGTATCATTAATAAAAGATGGCTCAAACAAAACCCTTAAAAATGTTCTCACATTGCTTTAAATGCAGTACGCTTAGTCAAATCCAAAAATATTATTTGACAGATCTGAAGCAGACAACTGAAATGCAGACGTGAATGACTTGGTTTCCCCTTTGCAAAGAGACTGATTTCACTTATTTATAGCTTTATTTCTTAATAGTCTGATGGTAGCTGCACGCAGTTCATTTTGGAAATAAATGGACAGCAGTCTAAAGCATGGTGTACTGTATTCAAGTTATTACAAAAGTTACTCAACTGTAAGCCTTGTCAGCAAACTAACTGTATTTAAAAATATTGTAAAAAATGACTATACAGGAAACTAATCTGGGATATTTCATTCTAAGAAGAATAACATACTGCGCCTTGTCTCCAATTAATAACATACTGCTCAATTAATCATCAAAATAATTTTGGACTGTTTCAACCCTCACGATGTCTTAAAAAACTCTTGAAACTGAGGGAAACTTTAAAGGCAGTTTGTACCTGGCATAAAACTTAGCTTTCAAGGGAAAACACAATCCGCTGTTTGGCTAGATATAGACAATGCCTGTGCACACTTCTAAAATAGATCAATCTTTTCTTGCAATGAGTCGGAAAAATATTTGATCTGAACATAATGAATGCAATTTTATATTGTTTTATAAAATTGCTAGTAATATTTATGTTTATGCAACTGAATAGATTTAACACGTCCTGCAATTGTTCACATTCTACTCTGATGCTTCCAGCAATTAAAAATGGATTTATCATGTAATATGAATAAATTGGGTTTATTGAAGATTCAAGATATTAGTCTATGTGCATATTAGATAAATATGATGAAAGCCACACAAAATAGTTAAAAATCTTTAAGATGCCTTTAACCATGGTTTGAGTTCTATTTAAGTTTACTCTCTGAGATGTTGACGATTAGGATAAAGATAGTAAAAGTCAGAAAAAATAAGTAATTTAACCTTTAACATTCTTTTTCATTGTTTCCTTAACAAATTGAACTATCCCTAATCTGTTGTGGTACAATAAAAAGCAACAGTGCTGGCCATAAGAAAATCTTTATATGACTTCACCCTATATTACTTTACTCTGTATCAAAGTAGCATCTCTTTAAGGCAAGTCCTTTAGTATGTGCCAGCTGTCAATATGCAAGACTTCTCACAAACAAAACAGATACTCTCTATTTTAAATTTGCCTTTTTAAAGTTGTTACCTAAGACCTGGCTATGGTACCAAAATATTATTTCTTTAAAAAGAAAGAATGATTAAAGGGGAGCACACAACATATTCTACCAAAAGTATACTGTATACCAAAGAGGTGTATGTGAAAGAGTTGCAGACTAACAATAATCAATCAGAAATCAAGTTTTACATTGCATTTTTGCCAGTATAGTTTTAAGAAAAATCTAGGGCATGCAAACAAATGTTCTTTAAGCTCACAATCAGTCCATTTTTCCAAGCAACATTTCCTTAGATGTTTAAGTGTTACTTTGATGATACAGTCACTACAGACTTGGTTACTGAAAGTTCTTCTGTGTTAGTTTGCTTGTCACTTTTATAAAGAGCAGCTGCCAGCTCTGGAAACTGAGAAAAATAGTTTCTTGCAAGCATTTGCTTGTGCTTTATCCTGTGAATGAACACCTTCTCATAAGCCTGAAAGAAAAAAATTACAAAACATTTTGGTTGGTTATATATTGGTATATCAGATTCTTAAACCATGAATGTTACTAACGTTTACATTTTTTAAAAAGGTAAAAATAATGATCTTGTGTTTTAAAAAAGATAACCTGTAGGTTAATTAACTCAGAGTTGCACTGCCATTTACAGTGAATTACTGTAGAGGTTAATAAATAGATACAAGATACTAGGATGTGATAAATTTTGGCTCAATTGTTGAAAATTATTTATTTGGAAGTACAGTATACCCCACTAAAATCAGCTGAATGTACTTCTGGATAAACATATACAGGACCGGCTTTAAGTAAGCAATAGTGTTATGCACTGAAAATAAGTTCTCTTGTATCTACTTTTTAATGCAGTGCTCTACTTGAGAGTCCTAACACACTGGAAATGGTTTGCTCATGTGTATCTCTTTCAGCTGATCTCCTCTTTAGATACTTTTCACCCTGGTAGCCCAGACGGTTGTGCCGGCACAGAAATGATCTGCATAAAAAGTACTGGGAGAGTAGGTAGAAATTATACCTTTCCCCCAAAGCAGAAGATATCTTTGTTCTGTCCTGAAAGCATTCATAGAACCTGCTGTGAGGAGATCTGAGATTTTGACTCCTTTCTTGGGCTTAACAATGTGTAAACCAGTGACAATTTTATCTTTGAAAAACACTCTAGCTAAACTTCCCCAATTAGAATCAGCAGCCGCTTGTTTTGGAAATGTTCTCAGTCAGTACATATTGTTCTTTCACTAGTTTTTAGAGACCTACGGGAAAAAGATACCACAAAATCCAAATGCTTTTTTCCATCAATCAAGCAGGAAGGAAGTGCCACAAGAAAACCTAGGCAAAGCACTTAACTAATTCTGTTACAAAGAAATTGTTGTATTTCTGACATAAGTCTTTCCACAGTTGATGCAGGCTGCAGCTAGATGACCAGAGATCTGAATATCATTGAGGCAGATAAGCAGTGAGAAGAACAGAACATGGGTCCAGCAGCAAAGACTCAAGCCTTGTTGGGATGGATCTTTGATACATTTTTCAGGATTCCAGTGGTTCCTGCCTACCTAATTCCAAACTGGTTAAGATGCTTAAGGTACGCTGCCACTCCTGATTGGTTAAGGTGCCAGGGTACGTTGTCCATTATGCTGACCCTGACTCACAGCTGGGCAGTTCCTCTGTCCATAAATGCTTTTTCAGGAATTCCAGCTTGCCCAGGCTGATAAACCTTTATCACTAATAAGGTTATCAAAAACAAGTATCATGTATGAAAGAGAAGGTAAAACTTTTTACCTTTAAGGGGATGAGAGAAGGATTAAATTGGTCCCAATGCAGAACAGGCCTTCAGGCCTATATACATTCCAAACTGGAGTAGTTGTCATACAATTCGCATAACAAAATACAATTCTATGTATTTGTTTCCCCCTCTCGACCCCAGCTTGATGTGAAATTTTTTTGAGGCTGGCAGTAAAATCTGCCCAGTTGGCATGAGAAAGAGTAAAAGACAATACTAAAAGTGTTGTACAGTATTATGAAAATAATAAGGAAAAGGTGTTTTGGAGTGGTTGTGAATGTGAGTGTGGCACATCTCTGTAAATCTTTAAAGCAGCCATGTCTTTTCCCAGCATCTGGGCTCTGTATCTGCCATACATCCGGGGGGGGGGGGATACAGGGTTTTTAAAAAGTTCCAAAAAAAGGGGTCCCCGGGGGCTCTCGAGTACTTTT